GAGGGGAGTCCCCATTACCTGTAAAGCGCTTTGAGTGGAGTGTCCAGAAAAGCGCTATATAAGTGTAAGCAATTATTATTAATTATTATTATAAAGGAGAAAATGCAGAACATGCCGACATATTAGGAGAATTTAAAAAATATTTTTCCCTAGGTATGCTCAAGAAACATTGCTAGTGTTACAAAGCGAAAGCAGAACGAGGCACTACCATAAAGTTGCCGGCAGTGCTGCAGTGGTTCCAGCAACACTGTACTGCCCCTGTACAGTCCCAACATGGTCAGAGCGAATGAAGAAAGCCCCTCGATTGAAAAGAGCTCAAAGCTCCGCAGATCGGACGTTACGAAAGTGCAGTTTCCCAATTTTGGTTTGAATTAAATTTTCTCTGTTTGCGGAATTTTGCACAGTTTTGATTACTTGATTACATGTTATTTATGTTATGTTATTACATGTTACTGTTATTGCTATTGTGTAACTGTCTATTGTCTTATCTTCTGTCCTATTTATATACTGCACCTGAGTGACTAACGAGAAACACTTTTCATTATACTATGCACCTGTGTAAGTTTAATGACAATAATTCACAAACAATATGTATCTTTAAGAGTCTGAAGCTCTTGTTTGGTTTACCATCCGAGAGCATGTTGCATGCTGTGGGGTGCCAAAGGGTTAGATGTGACCCAGGCCCTGAGAAACAGGGACAGTACCTAGTCCGGCAGTGCTGGCTACTCTCTGTGTGACACTTTGCACAAGGTGGTCAAGCACAGCAGGAAGAGGTCTCCACGTAGTAATTTCAGGAGAGCAAGACTTCGGTTTCTCGTCAAGCCACCTTCAGAGGTTTTGGTTTCTCATCAGACTCTCTGACATACAGCGTGAGTCAGGTGCGCCTAGTTCCCTTTACATTATATGACAAAACAAACTCTATTTTGGTTTGTCATTAGTTTAGTTACAGACACAGTTCAACACACTCCCAAAACAAGATCAGAGCAGGAAAAAAAAAAGCCAATATCCCCCCCTTATCCACATACACATTGCTATAATCTAATCACGAATGAAGAAGATTGACAATTCTAGTTGTCTACAAAATCAGTTTATTCAGCTCTTCTATTATTATTAGTAAAAAGCAAAACCACAATAAAGAATGCACTCTGGATTTTTCCTTGTTTTTGATTGTTTTATGTTATCAATCAGAAAATACATAATTTATTCTCGTTACCAGTGTAAAAACCACAGTCTCATGTATAGTGTGCATAACTTGCAGCTAGATTGTCAACATGACTGGAAAGGGGAGACTGATGGATGGAGGGAAAATCCAGGTGGCATGGTTGTGTGGCCTGGGAATTCCTGCTGGAATGAGCCATTTCAATTTCCAGCTCTGCCAGGAAACCTGGGGAGAGAGTCACTGTCAGGTACAGAGGGCTTCACGGTGTGTGCGTGCTATGCTTAGGTCTAAATAAGATCAGGTAGAAATGATAATACAAAAAAACAAAAACAAAACCCAGTGAAATATGTCAATTATTCAAACGCCTCCCTAGGTGGTAACAACAACGCAGTGAATCACCCAGGTCCCGCTACCACATCTCTATCTGGGAATGTTTTCGGAGCAGCAGGATAAGGAATAAAATGTTTTTTTTTTTTCTGTTCCTAGAACAGCTACAAGAACAGTGATAGGAAATTGCTTGTAGAAAACATTACTGTGGCTGGCTTTCCTTGGCAGAAAGATCGTTCCTCGGTTCACTGCTAATGGAAAGCTAGGCTCGGGTGTCTTTTGCAAAGCATCTCAGAAAAATCTCATGTGTATTTGATTTGTGATGTTGTGATGTTCAAATAAAACAACATAACAATTGTGTTTCACACACGATAAACAAAGATGTAAGAGTCTATATATTTTGTTCTTCATCTTAGGTGATCTGTATTTCTGCTAATTAATAACACATTAATAAACATATGAAGAGTTCTCTTTATCCTGCATCATTTTTGCAATCTGGTGTTATTCTGAGTTCAAGTGGCCAGGCACACAAAATGCTGCTGCTCAGGTGTGATTTCTGACAGTGGCAGGAATCAGCAGTAGATGGGTGAGTCAACCATGTTTTCCTGAAAGCATGTGATTTTTAAAAATGTTTTTCCAATTGCATCCTTCGCTCCTTGATTGTGTAGGAGCCAGAACCTCCTTCACACTCTCCTTGCTACCAGCAGCCATGTTTTTTTCACCAAGGGAGACCCAGAGAGAAAAGATGTGGGAGCTGATTCACTCTCAAGTGGGGACAGGGCTGAGAGCTTCACAGTTCCTTCTTTTTTGGTCTTGTCTGTTTGTTTTATGTGTTTTGTCAAGCCACTGCCTAAGACCACAAGGCAGAGTGGTGGCTCCTGTGTCAATCTTTTCCACTGCAGGTCTCCAGACACAGTACAGGGCCAGTCCCTACATGTACTGTATGGGCTCTGACCAAAGTCTGGGTACTCCCCCAAAATAAAACATTTAGATTTAGGTGTCTCGAAGGGATACAAGGCACCCCCGGATTGGGGTACCCCATTCTCTGTGATCACTCCAGGGGTAGTAAATTCTGTGGATCTAAAAAGATTACAATTATAGCAACAGAGGGACAATGAAACAATGAAATGTGTATACAGTATTTAAATAAAGTTGTATTCAACCTGTATTGTTTTACTCGAAAAGCTTTTAAGACTTAGAAAATTGGGGGATTCATGATTGATTCCTGTTGTTGCACTGTTTTTCTTTCGAACGTTGAATTAAAAAAAAACTGTTTAAACCATACTTCTGGCATTAATGGGAAATGCACTCCAGGCTAAGCATCACACAGTGCCAACCAGTGTGCAGTAAATTAGCTAAAGTAGCTAAAGGATGCACATCACAGGCACTCCAATTTTTACACTGAACGCAACAAAGGAAGAGTCACTATTTTCCATGCAAGGATCTGGGAGTTCATCAAAGTTCATCAAATAAATTTGAGCCATGAATAACAAAGCCCTAAAATAAACTCGAAGCATTTAACTCCAAGGAACTTAGTGGTTCTTTCATCACATATCACCATTGGGTCATCGGAGAAATCAGGATGTGATGCAGTATGGGGTCTGTAGGCCCAGCACTTCGTCCAAGAGGACACAGGCTGAGAGGACAGAGTTCTGCTGCCCCGCGGAGCAGATGTCAGTCTCTCACGGGACAATGGGGAGAGAGACAATATCAAATAAGCAATGCAACCCAGCCACCTGGTGAAGGAACACGGGGGCAACTGGCCAATACCCTTGAGAACATGCAGGCTCCGTACATACAGATGTCCGAGTTCCAGAATCAAACCCAGTACCCTGGGACGAGCCATAGCTGAATATGCATATTCCTTCATTCCCACCGTCCACAAAATCCGAAACGACACATAACTCAGCAAGGGCTATGGATGCGGTCAGCGTAAATCAAATACATGTGTTCTGACAGTTCTGAAGATCTGTGTCCGCAGTCAATGCAACTGATGAATTGCATCATGATTTGTTCCATTTTTGCCCTGAGGAGTTGCCAAACAGTGGAAAATTATATGTGAAATATTGTATATTACCAACAGTCCCGGTACTTGCAAAAGACAGAAAAAAATGAAAGTAGAAAGACTGATACCATTAAATTAATCTAAACAACAAAGGGAAATAAAACTACTCACTTCTCCCTTCAAATGAGCAGCTTTTAAATGCTTGTTTCACTAAGTCCATTCACTCCTCCCAAAAAAGAGGAAGAATGACCACAACTGATTTTCCCTGCTTGTGAACTAATTTTACACACTTTCAAGTCTGAATTTGCCCCACTCATCGCTAGTGCACGGGGTAGCTCAGTGATAGTGATCGCTTGCTTCTGGGCCAAAACATCTGCATGTTACTGGAAAAAGAAAGTCCCAGTTAAAGATGTTGTGTAGGGGGTCAGTTTAGACACCTGCAGGGAGGAGAGCCCTACCCCCACGCTGTCCGACTCCTAGATATGAGGAGAAAGCAGGATTCTGGGAAGGGTCTTAATCTTTAATCGCACAGCCTGAATCCCCTGCATTTGTTCAGGAGTCAGGACTTTGTCTTGCATCAGAATTGCTGAGCGTATTAAATCTTTACTAACAATGCTAGCCCATTACATAAAACAGTCAAATAGGGAAATAGACATGAATATCTTAAAGTAACTGAAGAACATGTCAACAGCATGTGCTAGCTACATTTGAGCATCTGGAAATAAACGAGATCCGGTATCTTGTCACAGGTTTTTTTTAGAAACAGTACTAACCGATGTGGTTCACTGACTACTGATTCTCTTCACAGTATATTCTTTCATCTGGTGGAGTGCTGGCACTGTGGCTGAGGATGTGAGCCTGTGGCTGGAAGGTTGCTGGTTCAAATCCCATGGCCAGCAGAGGACTCCTACTCTGTTTGGCCCCTGAGCAAGGCCCTTAATCCCCCCTGCTCCAGGGGTGCTGTATAAATGGCTGACCCTGCACTCTGACCCCCAGCTTCTCTCTCCCCGCCTGTGTGTCTCACAGAGAGCAAGATGGGGTATGCAAGAAGACAAATACCTAATGCAAAAAATTGTATATGGCCAATAAAGTGATCTTATCTTGTCCCAGAGTAAATCCAGAAGAACAACACATTTCGCTATAAGCCTGTTGCAGATAATAATGACACATAAACAGCTATTTGGTCATTCTGTTCTGAAACATCGGCACTCAGTAAACGGCGATGAGATTTTCCAGACCAAAACCATGCTAATTTGCAGATGCTGACACACTTTTACTTTTGAGAGGAAAAAATAATTTACTATATCAATAAATCATTTTTCTCCATTTAAACCTGTGTGACAGTCTGCTATTTAGACTTCCAGTGAAGATTAAGTAAAGTCAAAACTTGGCAACGTCTTAGAAAAGGTTCCTATCAAGTGTTTATTAATTGAATGAACACATTGCTAACATTAAAGGTTCTCCATTAACAAAACAGACTCCCATGAATGGATAACGATCATGATACATTCCGTACCGACAGCTTATTAGTGACTTTATTGCCGATGTGTAACACAGCCTTAAACTGAGACTGAAAAGAAAGTGTTGCAGGATAACAGCCCTCTGGTTTAGAGTACCTTTGTATTTTCAGATTCCGGTTAACCAGACAGAGGAGCTCGGTGTTCTGACTCATTAGGAATTCACCACACAGCCAGCGTCGCTGTCCTTTCTTTTCCCCAAATAAAGAGCAGTGCTTTGTGATGCAACAGACTGTTTCCGTCGCACAATTTAGCCTGGAAATGATTTGCTGCATCTTCTACAGGGACAAGGATAGCAACTCATTACAGTAGCACTACAATTAGAGCTCGTTAGGGAGGGGGTGGCACAAGGGGGGTTAATACAGGGGACTAAGGTGTGGTCCCGGAGAACCCAGTCCTGTTTTTAAAGATTGGCAACACCTGTAAGCCATTGATGAATCAAGCAAGAGCTATGGTAAATCAAAAGAAGTCTGAACTGTGAGGGCTGAGGACTACTTGGAATTTAACCCTAAATGTTCCATAAATGACTTAATTGAACAAAATATCAGTTTAATTAATCACAATGGAATTGTTCCACATCTTCAGAAATTGGTGACTTTTTTAAAATTCCCTACAAAACCTACTGGATTGGGGCTCTCTAGTACCAGGGTTGGATATCCCGGGTTTTAGGGAAAATCATTCACTTTTTCTTTTCCCCTGCAACATACTGTACTTTAAGTTTTTATATATATATTTTTTTCTCAGATCTGAAAAAGAAACAGAAACCAAACCAGGCCTGAGCTGACCTTATCTAACAGGCAGACAAGTATAGTAGAGCGGAGGCCAGCATTTTACGCTGGGCACGTTGATCTGGCTGAAGAACTGGCGGTTTCTCGTCCCCCTGCTGCCCGTAGTGTGCTTCAGCTCTTCCAGGCGCTGCAGAATGGCCTGCCTCTCCTGCCCTCCCGTCAGCCCCCGGAAGAAAAGAATGGCAGAGACGTGTTTCCTGCTAAAAAAACCCCAAGACAGAATAGAATCACAGGACGTGCAGATGTTCTGAGGTAGACGCTAGCGTAGTTGCTGGATCAGCGATGCATCTGTACAAGGGAAAATGCGCCACGGACAGACCGCGTGCACAATATTGTGTGTTTGTACGTTTCAGCTTCACACACAGCACTGTCCATTTTACACACTGTAGTTGCACCTGCTGACCACGTGCTCTGGGCCGCCTCTATCTAGTTGGGTACTCTTTTTACGTTTTCCGAAAATGACCTAAATTTCCAGACGAGCGTATCGGACACTTTTATTTTTGATTCCATTTAAAGAAAAACAACCCAATCAGGGACAGGAAACGTAATCGGCTACAGGCTGATCCACAAAGATTCCCCTAAATGTATTTCTTTTCAGCTTTACCAGGCCACGCTGCCGATTTCCCCATCGGGAATCCCGTTTTGAAACTGACGGGCTCTGTATCTTGCAGTGATAAAAGACCTCCTGGGAACACGACAACTGTTCTGCGATGACCTGATAGTACAGTTCTGTCATTTACTCAGTAAATACTGCAATCATCAGGATGTTTTGACTGCCTTGCCTAGGAAATTGTGTTATTAGTTGTTTCCTATTGACATTATAAATAATTTAGAGTTTTGTAATTACCTGTATGTAATTATCACTTGGGAGTAGCGCTATTGTCTCAGTTTTATTCCACAATTCAGTGCTCATCTTCTTCATTTCACAAAAAGCAAGATTTCCTATCAGATCAGTCCTCAGATTTAACAAGCCAGTACTTCTTCATGGGCACCTGTGTTTAATGTATGATTTAGGCTGAGTTTGTAAATACACATGACACATACGTGTCTGTATTTATGCAGTAGACTTCCCTCCAGGTCTGTGTAAAATTAAATTTTTGAGAGCTGTTAAGCCAAAACTAGTCTCTACTGTATGTGATGGGAGTTGAATTCACAGGTTTAAGTATTGAGGTTTGTTTTGTGTGGTCAATCTGATTTGCCTCTGTACATAACTGACCAGGGATAGGATAAGACTGTATAAGAAACAATACTGATATTCTTAGATTACTAACACAAGCTCAGCTCCCAGCTGTGAAGGAGAAATTGTAGCTAGTCTTTATGAACCCTTTGGTTTTGGAGTTGTGATGTGCTGCACAGATCTACACTTTAAAGTGCTGCGTTCTGCCCCCTTGCAGGTTTTCTTTGACCTCCACCTCCTTGGCTACAAAAGCCTCACTGGAGAATTTTAACTAGCATTCCAACAATTACTTCATCTATCCATATTCTTCAACGTGGGTAAGAAACGGAAATCGTTCCACAGTTTGCAAGGAATTTCTCCGGGAAAATCCAGAATGATGTCATCCCGCTCCCCCACCTTCCTCCTGTCCTGATGCGTTGCAGGAACAGCGAAGCCCCTACTGGCAGAGGGCCCTGAGCTCTGCTGCAGAGTTTGCAATTTCTGAGCAGCACACACACTACTGCAGAAGAGCCGTCAGAAAAAATGAGGCCGTGGTGTTAACTTCCATTTTCCACTGGAATGTCTGCCCTCCTATTCTGGGGAATAATGATGGTTTTGTTTTTGTGTCTACTTGTACCACACAATTCGAAATGCATTGAGTTTCCATACAGCTCTTCTCGTGAAAGCTTAAGGCTGCTGGGGAAAAAAAAATAACCCTGTGTTTGCAGATATGAATCACTCTACACTGTGAGCACCTGAGCTAAGTGAACAGTGAACAGAGCTGGGCTGTTTCTGATCAGGCAGCTTCTGCCTGCTGAAAGAGGCTGGGGAGACACAGCATTTCTTATTTCTGCATAACAGATTCTTGTGCCCCTGTGCTCTTTTGGATTACAAACCCTTCTTCTGTTTTTCAAATTAGAATGGAAATTTAAAATGGATATATAAAAAATACACGAAACTTTAACTGGTAAGCACATTTGCACGGTTCGCTTTCAGCCAAGGATTTCTGATTTCAAAATGCTTGGGGTGTAGAAAGCACTTAAAAACCCAGAAGCTCATTTTAAAACAAATCTAGAGAATCTGGGATCTAGTGTCCAAGTGTACAACTGTGAGGACATGTGAGGACATCCAAGCTAAAATAGAAACTATTGGAAACAGGCTGTACTAAGCAAGAAAGCAGAACCTGTCTCTTCTTGTTGTAGGCTTCCATTTATATTGTTGCTTAAAACAATAGTTGTAAGCCCAAACTAGTTTATTTCCTAGTGAATTGAGTATCTTTGACAGGCATTTTCACAGTGGATTTTAGCCTATGTCTGTTCGTTAAACTTGCTGGCTGTAGTGTCCTACACCTTGAACTATCCTACATGACCCACACAAAGCCTTGTGCAAGACCCTTTTATATAAATTCAGAATTGCTGATTATTTCTGATCTATCCTTCTGATGTGGAACTGCCAGCTGTGCGTTTCCTTCTGTTTTGGATCATGTCTACAAAGCTCTCAGCTCTTTGACTCAGTGGGTTGGGCTGGCCAGCATACCTGACGTCAGGATAGTCTGTGACCAGCAGTTCCAAGCGGTCCTTGATGTCACTCTTATTCTTCATCCCAATGATGTCACAAAGGTGTTGGCCCAGTGGGCGGAGCCAATCACAAGTCGTTCCCTGGGGAGACAAGCATTGTGACCCTGATTGCTACAATATATTCAGATTTGAAAAGCAAGTTTAGATTTGGGATTTTATCCGCAACTACAGTCCTTTCAGCTTAGAGCACCAATGAAAGTCTGTCTGCCTGGATGAATTTTATTATTTAACAGAGTACTTCAGAAAACAATAAAATAAAAAATGGTGAAAAGAGGAAATCATAGTGAAATTTATCCTTCTGTGCATTGGTATAGCAGAAGGCTGCAAACCTCCGGTAGTTTCTCTGTATTTTTGCTATTAAACATAAAAATTATTTGGGAAGTCTTACGTATAAAAGAAGTTAGGAAACGATACAAATGTGATGCCATTTGGCACATTCTGCTCTTGATTGCTAGTAGCTAGTGACTGCCAGTGAAGGAATATGTACAGGAAGCTACATATTATTTTAACAATGAGAAATGCTAATAAAAGGAAAGGCGCATAACTTCTCCACTTTAAAAGAACAAAAATAAACTAAACAAATCAGCATTCAGCACTAGTACATACTGTAGGAGTTACAAAAAATAAAACCAAATCTGACCTATACCAGCATTTATTTCAGTATTCTCCATCCTTGTTATATTTTAAGGCTGTAATACATTATTTCCAGTAACTTATGCAATGCAAGGGATTCTACAGGGCTTCTAGTTCCTCAATTACAGATTGTGAAAATTGTTTTTGTGCATTGTAATCACAATCCAGAATAGACTCTCCTACTCTCTAGGAGGTACCAGATCCCCTGTAGAAAGCCTAAGATAGCCTTTACTTCTTTTATACCGAAAAGCATTACATTGTTGAATAATGAAAAATTGTTTGCAGGTAGGGAACTAATTATTAGTATGATTGTTTTTACACTTTTTATAAGCTAGCCTGTTTTTTAACCTTATGGTGCTGGAAGACGTTTGATTCAGTGATGTGTTTGAAATTGTATTGTGTATTGTGCATTGCATTATTGTTGGATATGTTATATGTTTATGATCTTGTGATGTGCAATAAAGATGAACTCAGTTCATGTGCGGAAACTTTAGCCCAGAGTGCCCTGCGAGTCATGTGAGACACTACAGTCTGTGAACAGTGTGGTAGGAAAGTTATCCTGTGCTGAAGGAGAAGTTAATTTCTGATGAGTGGTTAAGCAAAACGTTCCCTGCATTGCTACACAAAGGCCCAAACAATGTAACAGCAGTGGCATCATTGCACAAGAGGGTGAGTCCTGGGTTCGTGTCACTGCCGATGTTTCAGAGCAGCTCTGTGGAGAGACAAAGGGCTTTCTAGTTTCCAGGGGAGTGAAGTAATGATCAGGCATTTTAATCTTTCTTCACGGACCCTTAAGGACTCGGGCTCTGTAGTAATGCAACAGGGAGCTGAGCAAATAAGGAGTTTCCCAAAGCAGCCTTTGTGAAATCTGCAGGAAATTCGCAGTTATCAACTCACCAAGTTATCAAACTCCTTCTGCAGCTCCTCCCACTCCCCCCTCATCTTCTCTGCTGCCTTTTCGTGCCTTCTGTTCTTGCAGGAATACTCATTCTTCAAGACCTGCGCTACGTACGCTTTTGTCATGTGGTAGTGGACATCATTCACAAAACTCTGGTTTGGGGAGACAATCAGAATTAAAAAACTGTTAAGAGATCAGATATTTTCGCTCTGTCTGCACTGGCAAATGTAGCCTTTATTTAAGGGAATAAAGCATCGGGCTTCAAAGGTATCCTTGCAAACAATCCCAAACTGTGTTGTAAATTAGAACTGGTAGAAGGGGAAATACCTCTATAAAAACATAGACTGCACGTGAAGAATTTCAGAAAGGGCAAAGGATGAAGTCAGAACAACAACAGATGTTATTCGCTTTGTAACTGAAACAACAAATCTGAGTAATTTGCTTAAACTTTGGATTTCCTAGAAGAGAGTTCAGACTAGAGTTCAGTGATAAGAAGGCTTTTCACAATACTCTATGAGGGAGGGTATATTGCATGTTTTAGAAATGTCAGCAAGATCAGCATCCTATCTTTCATGGCTACTGTACAACCAAAACAGTCCCCAGGCCTCATTGTGGAGTGCCCCTGTATCTTCTGATTTTTAATTCTGACTGAGCTTTTTATAACCACCTCCTTTCTTCAGTTCATCAGGGATGAATGAGGTCATTAGCACAAAAATCCTGGCACAGATGCTGGGATACAGATCCTCCTTCACTTGGGTTTATGGTTTCAAAGACCTGCTTGAACCTACTGTAACCAGCAGGCCCATGCTGCACGAAAGAACACTGATCATGAAAGTGTGTGATAGTGTCATTCCCACCTGTATCTGCACCTCAGTAATTGATAACATTGTTCAGCAACCTACATCGGCACAACCGTGTTAAACCAAGTCGAAACAGATTTCTTGCTTGCTGTATTTTTGTACAATGACCTGCCTAGAAATCGTTTTTGTGAGACTAAATCCTGCATTCAGAAACTGATTAAAAATCAATGGGTTCAATGAGATGAACGGATTAAAAGCTGAACTGTAAGGAATCCCAGAAGATGCAGGAGTACCCTAGCACCACGATTGGGAAATACTGCTTTACTCTACAGGGGTGTCCAGTCCTGGTCCTGGGGGGAGAGACTGTGTCTGCGTGTTTTTGTTCTTAATGAACTAAACCAGCTGGTTGCTGCCTTAACTGGACCAATGTAACAGATTCTCCCAGCTCTTCAGGTGCTGCTGCTGTGAAGTGTCACGATTGTAGTACCTCCCCCTTAAGGGCGCTCCGGCTCTTGCTTGTTTGCCTCATTCCCCGCACTTGTTCCTTGTTCTCGCCTCCTTCCAGCCCCCCTTAAAAGCCAGGCGCTGACGTTAATCCGGGCTCTGCATCTGATCTCCGTATCATGCGAGTCCGGGACCTACGCCTGGTCCCGTTAAGGTTTTATTTTCTGCCCCCGTTTTCTCCCGCTGGTTCCAACCAGTTTTAATTAAACAATCAAAGAGATTAATGTTTAGAGACCAGTTTTTAATCTCTTGTTTTTGATGGATCACCTGGCCATGGACTTTGGCTCTGTTTTGGATTCTCCTTTGGACTTCTTCTAGGATTGTTTGCCTAGGCAACACCTCCCCCAAACACCAGCGCACCAAGGACACGCCCCCTGTTTTGATCCCCTTTTCCTGCATGGCTTTTCCCCCCCGTGTTTCTCACTCTACACCGGGTTGTGTCGTCCGCATAGGGTCTGGAAAGAACTGTTCGTTACATAAAGAGACAGAAAACCAGCAGGGACACATGCCCTCCAAGACCAGGATTCAACACCCCTGCTTCAGAACAAACAAATTGGCTTCCTCAGTGAAGCCAACTAAGGCTGGTGTCTACAGCTCCGGTCCTGAAGGGCTGCTGTCTCTCCTGGTTTTCATTCCAGTCGATTCGATTCAATGCTTAATTAGGAGGAATTGCATATCTTTGCTCATTAGTATTTTAAGGCTGTCTGAAAAAATCTGTAAGAGTGTGAGCCTTCAGGAACAGGCTTATAGATCCCTGGTGTTTCTGCACCCCAAGAGTGCAGAAACTCCGGTGTAAAAATAGCTGTGCATTTGTTTTCCAAATCTAAATAAACTGCTGCTCGTTTTTGAAAACTACATGTAAGTAAAAGAAAGCAAATCCCTTGATTTCTCTTTTCTGTATGTTGGGCTCAGCTGGGTTTGCACCTCCATAAATGTGCAACACTCCTGAGAAAATGATGAGCAAATTACATTCAGGAGCAGACATGTCTGGAAATGACCTTCCTAGCCTCCTGTGTCCTGACAGGGTTAGGATGTTGGGACTGGAGGATGCAGAGTTGGTCCCGTGAGACTGCAGGGTGGCCTCTCATGCGTCCTGTCAATCACCTGAGCAGATTGCAAAGACACTTCCTGTCATCCCCTGTCATCCCCTGTCATGCCCACGGAATTCTGTTGATTAGTTTCCATGGAAACACCAGCTGTTTGCTGTCTTAGTTCCTCTAAATAAAATTCTGGGCCATTCAACATCCCAGCATGTTTTCAGTTTGTGAAAAGCAGTTTAATCAAGGCTTTTAGAACGTTTTAAGCCTCCTTACGTTTTATGTAAAAAGAATAGGATGTTTGATGATGGAACTAGGTATGTAGGGATTATCTACAGACTTTTATCACAGACTTTCTGTATAGATGAGTTGCATGATGCTACAATACATCTAATGCAAACCAAACCATATGGACTTTCTTTTCTGTAAACATAAGGCTGTGGTCAGGGCCTAAAGTTGTTGTGGTTTGGGAGGAGACTGTTTTGTACTCATTTCCTCCAGATGTTGAGTATTTGTATGGTATGCTCACTATAGTTTTAGAAGAGCTGTAACACCGAGCCCCTACATAAGAGAACTGTAGAGTCTGGAATGCATGTAACTGTACAGAGGAGTGAAAAATACGAAGGTTTTGAAGCTGAGACTTAACAAGCACCAATGTGTGGCATGATTAATGTTTAGAGTTGGAATGTGCTCAGAGCTCTGATACTCTGATGCATACTTTGTTTTTTAAACTGAATCTGGCCTCTTCAAGAACATAGAAATATGGTTGATGTTGAAAACAGCTTAGGTGTCTTGAATTAAACCTGAATTAAAGTATCATAGTTGAACATCTTAGTTTATAGATACAGTGAGAGGGAGAATGTCATTTTGGACTGCATGTTTCCACTCCACTTGTGGAAATGAGACTTTGTCGGGTTATTCTGAGTCAAAGTGCAAACCACAAGACAGCACAGAATTACATCTGGTCCATTTTTTGTGGTCACCGTCAGGGCTGAAATGAGGAAGCAGCTCTGTCATGCACGGCCTGAGTAACTATTTAAAGGACACATTTCATTTTGCATGCATGTGTGCGTGTGTACAGAACACGTCGCATGCTTGTTATCTCATGATGCAAAAAATGTTTTGAAAAAAAATTTACACTTGAAAAAGGTAACTGAGCTGCTACATTTTAATGATTTTGAAAGACGATTTATACTGCTTTGATTTTTATTATCTGCTCGTGAACTGCTCAAAAACTGTATTGCAAGAACTGCACCCTGAAGCAATGAAGTCTGTACAATTAGGACCATGTGGAGCACATTCCCCTACACAATGACAACACACACAGAGCACTGTATTGGTGCAAAGTAGGACCAGCTATGTGCAATTCTAACTGGCATGCATATCAACACATGACACAGAAATGCATGGCCTTCCATATTGTTGTTTTTGTCTGTGCAACACGATGAGTTGTACCTCTCCAAATGATCCATCCTTTTAAATGTCAGCCAAGCGCACAAGCATCCTGTCTACTTGGAAAAGGTTCTGCATTACATTGCTCTAATCCCGGAAATACAAGCCCTGTCCCCCTCACCTGAAGGTACGGCTTTTTCATCCTGCGACAGTGCTGAGAGAGATCCTCAATTCTTTCCACTATCTTCTGGAAATCGTCGCTGCTGGACAGCCACTTCTTTGTCATTAGTTTCCTAAAGTGGAGCTGGAAAGGGACAGCACTTTGTTCTGACAGACTCTTTACAGACGGTCCTTCAAAATCTAAATAGCATAATACACTGAAGGATGAACAATTCTGTGATAACCACTAAGGGTGTGGAGTGCAGTGCAAAGAGAGATGGAAAGGTTCTGTAGAAACCATTCCAGAGCAGACTTTTACTCCCCTATTAAAGAATGTGATGTAAAGTCTAATCTGAAGAATCTCCTTAAATCAACTGTATGTTATTAGCTACATAACACATCTCATTAAACTTCATGTAGTGTTGGCACATTCTCTTGTACTTTCGTGTGAGAGATTGAAGCCAGTCAAGTCTGCGAAGGGGCAGTTTACATGTGGCACAGTAAGAACACCCTGAAGTCCTCAGGATAATGGAGACTTCTGAGCAGTGAGAGAATCCCAAATTCCTCTCACCTCTGTCTCCCCCTTGAGATGTTCCAATAGAGACTGGCCAAAGCTTTCTATCGTGGTATCTGTGTCCTTTACTAATTCCTCTACTGCGGCTGGGCTGGTTTCCTTGTATGTCTCCATGTGCTCTCTTGGGAAAAGAGAATTTTGTCAGATTTTGCTCATCTTATGAAAAAGGAAACTTATTTTAGAAACCTACAAGATGTACAAGGAGAGCAAGATGGCAGTGCCGTGTTTTGACAGTAGTTTGATTAAGACTGACAAAGACCACAGTGTCAGTGTTTTACCCTGCGTCAGGGGATGATCTCCAGCACTTGTCCACTTACTAGTACAGTAGGTCCTTATCAGCATCTATTCAATAAAGGGATTGGAGGGAGTAACCTGTTCCCTACCCTTGCGTTATGCTGCTCTGTAATCAGTCCAGAGAACAGCAACCAGATGCATTCCTGGGCTTAAACTATCTGACAGTGATAGACTACAAGAGCTGAATTGTTTACGTTTTGAACAGAAAACACTGTGGGAGAACCTGACATTGACAAACTCAGCCCAATAGGTTTCTTCAAAACCAACAGGGAAAGCAAGGGGTTACAAGCGGAAAGTACAGGAAAGTGAACTTAAAACTAAGAACGGGAGGCAGTTCTTTACACAAAGGGTTGTGGGAGTGTGGCACAAGGTACACAGCCATGTTGTTGAAGCAGATACCCTGTTTTTTTTT